AGAGTGCCTACAGGCACCGTTCCATCTTAGATCGGAACTTTTGTATAATTACCTAGGGTGAAAAAGAGACATTATTCCTGTGTAACTATGATGATCAATTATAAAACGAATGACAAGGAAAATGCAACGTGATTTGAAAGACAAGTAATGTACGTAGAATTTCGATAACAGGTTTCGACATAAATGTAATTTGGCCCCAAGCCAAGCTTCTCTACGGGTTCTCGTTCCAAAACCAATCTTAAAACCAAGACGAGAGTTACATCACCTCAGCGTTTTGATCGTGAAGTTGAACAGGACATGGTCTCCGATTTAAGAAGTAATTGGTTGACTGTTTTGTTCGTAGTGTGGTAGAGGGTGTTGGACATTCTCACCGTTTAGTGAACACCTGGTGTCATCACTGAACTTCGTTGATCCATTTATATTAAGTGTCACTATTTTGTCTTTTTCGCCCAATCGATTCTGTCTCGACAGATAACACAGACCGATTATTTTTCTGGTTTACACGTTTTGAAGTTGTGTGTACACCATATTCACATGACACATTATTTTCCAATCGCTCTGTGGAAATTAAATGAAGTAACTGGTTCGAATCCCAATTCTTCCTGACCATGTTCCCAGGATAATTATATATAGTTTCGGTGTGTCAGTTTAACGTTTCAGGTAAGCGGGTAAGCGGCGTCGTTGATGTTTAGATGTGGATCACTATAGTAAACCTCGCGGTGATGGTGCTGATAGACCAAAGATCTTAATCGGTGCAGATCTCCACGCTACGACTTCTAAGCAGGGCAATACTTCACAACAACCTGAAACCCTTTCGATCAGTTCGTTTTCCTTCCTTGACACACCAAGACTCCAAATCGATGCAGCTCTGAACACACTCCGGATCCTTGCACTGATAAGGCAGACAACTCTTCATAACAAAGAATGCCCCTCTGCGCTTTCCACAGTTTACATGCCAAGGATCATAGTCCATTTTGATCTTGAACTCGAAGCAGCATCCACATTGGACGTAACTGACAAGGCATTCAGTTTAATGACCTGCATGACGTCACACGATCGCCCTGGTGCTACTAGGGTTAGTCGTCAAATAGCATATAAGCCTGTGTGGAGATAACAGTCTGGCTTGGAATACACGTTTCGTCTCACGACACATTTATGACTTGACACACTTTTATCATACGTTTATCTTTGTACACCAGACAACACCATGAATGGGATATGGTCAAGAAGAGGTTTGGTACGTGAAAACAATCATCAAACATACTCAACAACGTAGTAATGTTTACACCGTTGATAAAGTAAACACTAAGAACGCTGAAGGCGACGTTTCACGCCATTCAAACACCGTGACACTCACACCCAATAGACATAATAATAAGATTCACCGCCATTCACTACAAACATGCATAAGAAACGCGTGAAAGTATGATGTGAATGTGAATGGCCTGGTTAGGGAAGCATATTTCTAACTGCACAAACACTACATATCCAATACGGGCCCGATAACGTCAATTGAATAGTCCATAGCGAATTAAATGAGATATTACATTATGATCGGGCACATGCTCGTGTTGACGTTAATGTTCAATGCAGGTGCGCGCTGTAGTCGGGCAATGTTAACAATGTATTCATACTGTTGCAGCTTATTTATTTTCCCTTTAACGTCCAGGTAACGATTTGAAAAGTCCTCTATTCAACCTCGTCATGAAAGTTATAGACCCATCTGATAAAAAAAGATTAATTACATAACCGATGTAATTCAATAAGGGGGAAGAAACAAACAATAGGAGATAGGAGATTTATGAGCGACAGACATTATCTGTACCGTACTGTCTGCGCCAGGGTTGACTTTGACCAACCCTTTGTTTAACACTATCTTTTACAAGCTGGGTATTTTTTCACTAAGTCTCATATTCGAAATAAGTGTATTGTTGCCCCACATTATTTTGAAATAACTCCATACAAGTTTGTATGTAAACGTTCTTTCACAGTTTTACATTTCTGGTGTGAGTCCTGTAGTTTCAGTGTTGAGACCAGAATGCTCACAACATCTGATATTAATTGCATGAATTTCACAACCAACGACCGCAACTTACTGAAGGTGTGTTCAAATATTTGCAACTCTACAAGTACAATATAGAACTCTTTTTGTGTCGTCTTTAAGGCTTATTTCTAGAAAGAACATGACATAGGGAATTTCAAAACTTGAAGCCACCCATGCATCTTTCAAGTGAAACCCTTTTCAAAGTACATCAGAATCGACTGTGGTGTGTAAGGACATAAAGTAACTGTGTAGTTTAGATTGCCACAAAGTAGGCCACACCTTAAGGTGTGACGCTGGGACGAATATACACCCATTGTCAAGGGAACGCCCACCGCGCCCCTTCACACAAACTCTAAACACTGCGTGACATAAATGAGCTGTCATTTTCACATCGTTTTAATAAAAGACATTCTTTTAGACACCAATAGAGATGGACACGCCTTGGACAATTTATGTGCGATAAAAGCCCCTAGGGGCGCTATTGTGATGTCATTTATCGTCATAATGACAGTGACTGAAATAGTGTTCACTTACTGACGAAATAGCAAGTTGAGGTACTTGCGCAAGTTCAATTTATTCATCCATGACGATGTGGGACTTTATGAATGATCTCTTTTTCATGTTACCCTCAAGGAAGTTCGGGGCCATTCGTTACCCTTTCTCTAGGTCACATGAATCAAAACATCACTCCCCAAACAAAGAAGCAATTAACTGCCCTTGACCCTCATGATCACCTGCGAATTAGTTCATAAAGTCCATGCTTACAAACTTCTCAATTTCTCAATTCAACTCTATACGGTTGTTAGTTTCCTGACGTTTACACATTACAGTGATGAGAGGAACTGATGGAAGACATCCATGTATCCGAAAATGGTAGTTTTTTCATCAACAAAATTATTAATTTAAAATTGATAATTTAGGATGAACTCTTGCATTTAACTTTGGTCATTTGAAGGAGGCATGTGTATCCTACTTGTTAAAGCATTCGTACACATGTACACGCATTCCTATTGACCCCAATAGGCCAGTGATGTTGCTTCAGGCCAAACATAAACCAGTCTGCCAGGTTGTTAAATTCGTTGAATGTTCCTTTAATTCTTTCTCTCTGCATGCATCTGTTGTAAGCATGAACATTTTATCCTTTTGTAAAGGATGGCTCGTCATGCATGGGGTAGAAGACACAAATGCGATGTCCATATTCTGAATCCTCTTCGACAACAAATCACACAACTAGTCTCAATGCGTTCTAATGTAAGTAGAATTGTAAACCGGTAATATTGAAATCTGGAGTAGGTATGAGTTATCACCGCGTTTAGCAATACCCAACAACAAAGTACCCATGTGTGGATTTAAACTCCAGTCTTTGGTGTGGTTAGTGAACGTATTAACCACTAACCCACTGCCTCCTTAACCACACGACACGAGTATCATCCACAGATGATTAGGTGTGGAGTCAAGTGATTTATTACACCCCTCTGAGTTAAGAGGCTTGCCTTTGATGCACGCTCTTAGTCTGCGATTAGCCCCAACGTGGTAAGCCTCGTGGCATTAACTTCCCCAGACCCGACCACACTGTCACGACTTCCTCTACAACACTCCCTTTAAGATACAACTTTAACAACACGAGCCTTCCTCACTTCTTTGAGTGGCATTTTAGAAGTTGGGAAGTACAATGTGGAACAAACTTTATGGATAACAACTTCTTTTTATTTGTGAGTGCGACGTTTCAATACAGATTCTTGTACCGTTGTCAAGCAGGATGGAACATGAAGAAGGGGGATGTATATATATACTGAACGTAACAATGTAACAAAGAAACATCATTGGTTTCCACGCCTGTCCTTTGTCTACTCTCTGGCTTTATCAGCTTACTGACTAGCCAATTATGTTAATTATGTTGTTTTCTTTGTTACATTGTTACATTCAGTATATATATACATACAAGAATCTGTATCGAAACGTCGCACTCACGAATAAAAAGAAGTTGTTATCCATAAAGTTTGTTCTATATTGTACTTCCCCACTTGCTTAAGAATGTAAAAATTCTTGAATATTCCGTTAAAAAAAATATTAACAAGAAACTGATAATCGTTTCATATATCACTAAGTATTAATTATATTTAGCAAAATAATTCAGTTTACTGTCCATGAATAACCAGTTGCCATATATTCATTTCATAGAACCGGGGAGTGTTCGCCAAAGCGTCAAACGAGATACAAGTGCATTCACACATTTGCATCTTCAGATGAATTAAATGCTCAAAATTATGAATAAACATGTCTGTCTAAAATGTATAAACCCGACTAAACTAACTGAATGTGTTCATCAAAACCTTGTTAATCCGGACTGCTCCCCATACCGGATGACAAGGCTACCCCTAGATTGTGTTTAAAAGTTATTCCAATAAAAAATGATGTTAATCACCATTACGACTCTTTAAATGGCAATCGACCAATCCATCAAATGCATACATGTAATTAGACACATATGACAAACGTGGGGAGTAAAAAGATACCATAAATGTGCATGACATCAGTGTCTTCACTTTCCTTGTTTACGTCCAAGTTAACACGAGCTGGCTATCAAAAGCTCGTTTCCAACAAGTAAAACACTATTAAGAACGCAATGCTAATCCATCGATTAAAAAAGAAGATTATATTCTTATTGTAATATCTATGTTAAATTGATGACTTGATTATTTCAGATGATGGGCGATTTAATAGGTTGTATTGGTAACGAAACTCCATACAAACACTAAATGCCTCAGTTTTGAGGGTTTGTCTTAACAGTGTATGTTGAAACAGAAAACATCACATAACACATTTTGGCTATACGTTTATCTCTCGTTGAAACAATTATTCTATGAATTCAGTGTACTTACATCGATGAATTGAACATTGCGTTTTCACAGAGCATCAATATGTCATAAACAATAAATGAAAAGAAAAGTAATACTTGCTGTAACAATATACATTTATTAATAAAATATACATACTTCTGGATAGAACTCTTTGATTACAGGTGGGCTGAAAGAAATGACGTCATCGTGACGTCATAATGCAAAACAGGCGGGAAGACCATTGGTTATTTGGGTATTATACCATCAAATAATTGTAACGTATTACATCATGGTAATAGTGTTAACACTGTTTTCAAAAGAATATTCAGAATAATACTATTAATGTGAATATTTGAGAATATTACTTTATCAACAAATTGCCAAAATGAAGTACGAAATGAACAACATGCTGGGAAATATCCTACAATAATTATAATAATTTCCAGAAAAATAACAATATTCACTTCATTAAATTCAATACACATCTTAGGCTTTTAAGTGAATAAGGTTTTCATATCAGCTGTACATTATATACTGCTTAAAAATAGTTAAGGTCCGAGATATTCTTTCATATAGGTATAGTTAATTTTACTACATTTATTTAACTATACCAATATGTTTTGTTCAAGTTTTGACCTTAACTTATTTTAGTAGTTTATAAATACAAATGGAATCTCATAAAATATCAAATGCCTGGACAACATCCCCATTGACGCTAATTGACCTGCCTGCTGAGGGCCATTAAGTGTTTACTGTTACTACCACCACTACTGCAGTGTTGTAAACAAACGCCATGCTAAATATAGACCATTTGTTCTGCTTTGCGTTCGTGTTTTACGTAATATATATATGTGTGTACATACTGTGTGGAAAGTGGTCAGTGTTTTAATAGTTAATGTGATAAGTATGGAATTTATTTCTAGGAAAACACGTTATGCGTTATAGTTACCTAGGTCTACCTGTACACCTGGTGTAGCAAATCTACCTGTATACCTGTTAGGTATAGTAGATCTACCCGTGTACCTGTCCGGTGTAGCAGATCTACCTGTATACCTGTCAGGAATAGTAGATCTACCCGTGTACCTGTCCGGTGTAGCAGATCTACCTGTATACATGTCAGGTGTAGTAAATCTACCCGTATGCCTGTCTGGTGTAGCAGATCTACCTGTATAATGTTAGGCATAGTAGATCTACCTGTATACCCGTCAGGTAAAGTAGATCTACCGTGTACCTGTCCGATGTAGCAGATGAACCTGTATACCTATCAGGTGTAGTAAATCTACCTGTATACCTGTCGGGCCTAGCAGAACTACGTCTGGAGATGGACAAGTGTAGAAGATTAACCCCTGTTCCTCTCAGGTATGGCAAATGAAGCTCTGTACCTGGACAGGTTTTAGATATGATCCTGTACATCTGGCCCAGTGTTCAGCAGGTAGATACTTTTTATGTGTTTACAAATCTGTAGAAACAAGTCCGAATCACTAACGCTAAGATATTTCATTGAGTTAATAATTCATGAAACAAAATATCGAATTTGAAATAATGACATATGCTACAACAGAAAAATATAACCCAATCGAACGAAAGATAAAAACATTTTTAATTTTCTTCAAGAGATAATTGAATGTTTGAATGTAAATATTTTTGGCATTTTGCTTCTCGCATTTGAAAGGCCAAAATATTTGTTCGGATCAAACTAGTTTCTATGACAAATGAAAGCATCACAAAGACGAGGGAGCTGTAAGAACGTACAGGCAAGCATATGATCCACGTGTCAACACCCCGCTGGCCTCTATATAGCGATATGCTTCCATCGATCTCCTGTGTTAATATCAGCTTCCGATCTTTCACCCAGACATAGAATGTCGATTTGGTTATGTTAGAGAGACCTTCACGTATAACAGAGCATCATAATGACTTCTAGCAGGTAATAATACCAATTCGATACTGCATTATGAATTTATCGACACATGCCACAATATGTTGCACATTATGTAAGTTTAAGTTGATAAGGAATTTGAGACGTTACAGTATGAACCCTCGGGCAAATTTACAATAGCGTCTCAAATTTAAAATAAAAATTAAAAAACAAAACATCGAGTGTTATTTGTGGTAATGGACAGGTAGTATGATTTGGACTTAACTTAGCAATGATGGTTTCAGACAATTAACATTATATGTTTGCGGTCAAATCCAATTTTCGAGTGAACACTTTCTGTTGCCAAGCAATACACCTCGCTTTAATTAATGCAATATCAAATTCTCGAATTGTGCGATATCTTGAATGTCAAAATGTGTTTTTAACATAAGAAAACGATACCACTATTTGACCTGAATTACTGGAATGTAAAAACATACATTAATAGTTTATGTTTCTGAAAGTTGATAAAATATTAATGAGTTGTACATATACAGGAAAAGGGATACCATGTTCATTTTGTTTTGGTTAACGTGGAATAAATTATGCAGAAGCCTAAGGTATATATTCGAATAGATCGTGACTTTACAAGGTCATAAATAGCGTGCTAATGTTTGTGATCACCAGCGATCATTTTAACAGACAGCTCAAGTATTAGCCTCCGGGGTGTTGAAATATTACGCAATAACACGAACACAAACCCAGTTTACACAAATGCGCTATTGTAGACAGCAGCCAGTCAATTAGCAATCGTAATTAGTGTGTGCACACTGATTTCTGAAACGCGTTCCATGCAGAAAGATTAAACCGGATCGGGAATGACAACACAAAGTAGTTTAAATATGTAATTAGCCTGGTAAATCTGAAACCGGGTTGAGTATGTTATGTACAGCGGGTAACAGCATTAGCTTCAAAGGGGTAGCCAATTAGAGTTTCCTTTCATCGCGAGACAAATATTGTACGAATATACATATATATTGTATCAATAATTAGTTTCGAAAAACGTAAGAGCATTTCGTGTTTTCTCGCATTCAATGTTTGATGAATTAGGACAAATTCCGAGCAATGTTTGACTTTGCCGTCAAGTTCGAAGTGTACATATGTTTGATTAGTATTTGCAAAACCTGCCCTGGGGTGCAACCTCAGCAGCTTTCTGTAAACCGGGACACAGTTGCTGTAGTTAGGTGCTAACTTCAAAGTTTGTTTCCATGTCCTATCAGTGCCCATTAATAAACTATACGAACGAGATTTACAAGTCTATGTACATAATGTCAAACTGTGCAGGGTTAGTTAGGAAATGCGTACGAGATTAATGTCATTAATTAATGTCAACGTAATCAGTGGAGCCAGTTTGTGGAATCTTACAAAACTTGCTAAATCGCATTCCCTGTTAATTTCTATCTTGTAAGTTTCTAAGTTAATCGTTGCTATAACTACCTTGGATTATGCTTCACTTCACAATATTGCCGATATATCAGACCTGCTTCAACGATTGGCCGCAATACATGACCCAGCGTTATGTTTATGTACAAGATCATATCGTTTGCGTATGAGTAGACTTGGTACTTTGTACATGAATTGGTATGACATTTTGTATAACATTTGCACATATATATATCACGTGTATTATAATGCTCGTGGTAGTTATTCTATTGTTTACATTTGTTGACCTTTCACCTGATGCGTCACCTCTCTATTGACCTTCACCCTTTACCTTTGACCTCTCCGAAAGCAAACCTAAATGTCAGCTTGCTGTTTCATTAACATGTTTCTCACCAACTCAGGTAAAGGTCACTTTGCGCTGGGGGTCAAGTCGATCCTCACAAACATACACAGTGTACCATCCTGCAACCTTCCCAGAATTCCTACACGTCATGCGTGTGTCGCCATCTTGCGAAATCCACGAGCAGGTCACTTCAGTCTGCTGTTAGCCGATGAAGACAGGTTCAGGTGGACACACATATATTCCAATTGAAGTATCTTGAGATCACCCCCTAGTACATATGAAATTCGTCCTCACCCCGAACTCTTGATGCCATATGTTCGTTGAGGGCATAAGCCGACATGCCTGCCTCATGTGAGTGGGGGTTCCTGCTCTGTGCTTCCAGATTCTTGGAGAAAGCCCTCTCACTCATATTCATATTTTCCTTTTTCCTGAAGTCTCGTGGCAGTCTTGGGTAGCTTCTGTCAAACATATTGGGGTTCTCTGACATGTATCCGCTATAACTGTCTGTAGAGTCACTCGGGATTCCATACACTCTCTTCTTGCTCTTCTTCTCCTTCTTGTTCTTCTTCCCTTTCTTCCCCTTCTTCCCCTTACCGTCTGGAGGGGGCACCGATCTGGCTCTACCCTCCACGTACATGGGCATGTATGGGTAACGCTGTGGGCCGTACATGTAGTAACCAGGTTGAGGGGAGGGGCAAAACCGTTAGATGGGAATGCACCCAGGGGAGGGCGGTGACGAAGGTCGTAGTCCTCCCTGCGGCTAATCCTGGGGCCCCTGGGTCTAGACTCGTAATCTGTGGGTGGGGTTCTGGGTCTGGAACTGAGCTCGCTTGAAAGGTCACCATTATCGCCGTTCATGTGTCTCTTAGGGAATGTCTCATCGTGGATGTTCCTTGGTGATGAAGACCGGGATGATCCTGAACCAGATCCTGACGAATGTGACCCCCTTCGCTGGGGCCGTCGTTTGATGACGTACGGTGCGTCAATGAAAACCGGCGGTGGTGGCACGAACACATGTGGATCCCGGCGGGGGTACCCAGCTACTACCCTCGGGCGCATCAGAGTTGGGGGTGGAGAGAAAAACCTCCCTCTACGAACCATTTGTGGGGGAGCAGCAATCATTGTAGGTGGAGGAGGTGGGACTGCCCTTACAGATACGACAGGTGGGGGTCGTGGGTGGGGCAGGGTCATGGAGGTCCCGGGGGGCATGGCAGCCACGGCGACGGGCTGACTGTAAACTGACCTCCGATCTCCTGCATGTCTGGCTGCAAACGGTGCTTGGGAAGACACGTTCAGATAATCTGCTTCCGCATCTGACACGGGATCTACAGTATACTTCTTTACCTTTGACGTCTTGGTGCTGTAGAAGTACCCGTGTTCTGGTGGATTATCCATAAACTCGGGCGCAACTCCGTTGGTAGAGGAGAGTCGTCTCTCTCCTGATATCAGCCTGACGGGGTAGTCCTGCATCACAGGTGAGCGGAGAAGAGTATTAGTTTCAGGCGTTGTTTTACCCGAGGTAACAACGTTATCCACTCCGTACGACCGCAGCACCGGGCTAGCAACGTTCTCAACTGAATAAGAAGGTGTTGAAGGAAGGACAGTACCGTTTATTCTTGCTTTGCTCATTTTATCGGCCGTGGAAGTTTTCTGCACCAATTCCAAAGCGTCCCTTGAACTTTCACAAACAAACCCATGGCACTCCAAAACCTTCTTGCCTTTAGTGCGACGGGTGATCGCTGTGAAAATTGCCGGCCTCCTAGAATTGAGTCCACCAGCAGCGGGTGAGCTTAGAGAAACAAACTTGGCAACCTTTTCCCCTGTGGCGGTGTTGACGGTGTTGATACATCGAACAGCAGCACATAGTGTCAGTGAGGTGATCGGGAACCAGATAATCGTCCCGGAATCGTCATCATTCAGCAACAACTGCAACCCCGTCGGTAGGACGGTGAGGATGGATTTCATTCCGTCAATAGTAGATCCCTCTTCTACCGGGTAGTGTTCCTTGAGGGGTTGCTGTATGGCATCCAATCCCTCCGAAGTCTCCAGAGGCACGGAGCTTCCAATGTACAGCACATTCTTTTTACAGATCAAACTATCTTCAACCGGCATTTTGACCGTTTATGATCCAACAGTCACGAAACAAAATAACACAACACAGTGAAGTTTAAACTTCAACAGTTCAGTCTCCAATCCCTCCTGTCCTTGTTTTCCGCGCAGTGTCACAGCAGAGAAGCTAGCGCGGCGCTGTCAGTTTAGTAGTGTGTGTACCGTTCGCTTCCCAATGAAGCGGGGAGCGGGACTGTTGAAGGAAATCCCTCTGAACTCTCTTAGCATTTGTGTAAGGGGAGGATCTAGTTACGGGAGCTGGCGTGATGTCCCGGTGAAGCACATTCTACACTTCCTGACTCATTCGGACAATACGCCCTCCACTGGCGAAGGAATACGTCCTGTTTTCACGGCAGTCCAGAGCACACTGTTCGCGTCTTGCTTTCCACCTCAAACTGATACCATCAATCGACAACAGCGTTCAGTTGGTCAACTGTGTCGCTGTGAGCTGAAGAGAAATTCCGGCACAGGAGCTTAACAGCGCGGACCCCTCGCCCGTATGCTAATCTTGTGTTCAGAATGCATGACTTATTACGGGGCCTGCCAATGAGAACCGGTTTGGCTGGTGACTATTTTCGGCAGCGGACACCGCGAAGAGACGGTATCTCTGAAACCTCGTTTTCCTGGCAAATACCATACACACGTGTGAAATAGAATCTCGGTAAAAGTTGCTGGTTAAATGACAGGTGAAATATACCCAGAAGGGAACCCGATATCGAATTTCACAACCCTGGTTCAATCTTTCCTTTATCTCGAAAAGACACACACACATACCGGATGCGCTCACGCATGACAGCTTACTAAGAATGCCTCCCTATTACGCTAGATTCGTGGACTTTGAATAAAGGTATAGACTTTATGTTGCATATGACCCAGTTTATATAGGTAAAAGCTGTAACAGGGTATCGATCATATTGAAGATTAATGGATACTGTCACGTGACCCCAATGAAGCGAATACAATCGCACTGAGCGTTTATAACCACGTCTTGTAATGTACAGCGTTGGGTGTCGGGATCGATAAGCCATTATTGAGAAAGAAAACAATAGTTCTATTCAACGCTTGCACGCATGTAACGGGGACTGTCATTGCTGATCGGTGCGATACGATCTTATTAACAACAGTCGGCACAATATAGCTTAAATGTAGGTTTGTGTAATTAGCGTTCGTTTGTAGCTGTGTAAATATTTGGACAAGCGTGTATCCATTCATTATATGTAGGTAACTTGCACAAGGGTCGTAAAATCACTGGTTAGACCCCTCGTGGGACAGGTTGCCATTACTGTTGCATATTGAATGATCACGTTTCTTGGACGGTGAGTTGGTAAGGACGTCGTTTTGAACGTCTGTCCGTGACGGCGTCACCGGGGGACAGGATACAGAGCGTGAACTTTTCGCTTGCTTGGTATCAACACTGTTTGATGGATATTCATAAACATAGACTCGTGAAATAGTCAGACCAGAGACCATATAAATGATATAAATGTACAAATGACATAATTATAAATGTACGGATGACTTTGGCTTTAGTATATACGTCGTATGATTATTGTTAGGTTTTGTCGCCTTCATTCAGTTGTCTAACAAAGATCAGGTAAAATATCGGAGAGAAGCCCACACTGTCCCCAGTGAATCATGTTTCACTTTGGAAACCTGTGCGTTGAAGCACATGAACATGGGTATAATGGCACCCGTGAACAGTGAAACCCATGAACACTCGTATGGTGAAATCCAGTCACATTGATAAGATGAAACCCATTGACACTGGTATACGTATGGTGAAACTTATGAACACTCGTATGGTGAAATCCATTCGAACTGATCAGATGAAACCCATTGTCACTGGTATGGTGAAATCTATGAACACTAGTATGGTGAAACCCATTCGCACTGGTATGGTGAGACCCATTCACATGGTATGGTGAAACCATTCACACGGGTATGGTGAAATCTATGAACACTAGTATGGTGAAACCCATTGTCACTGGTATGGTGAAATCTATGAACACTAGTATCGTGAAACCCATTCGCATTGGTATGGTGAAACCATTCACACGGGTATGGTGAAATCTGTGAACACTAGTATGGTGAAACCCATTTGCACGGATGTGGTGAAATCTATGAGTACTAGTATGGTGAAACCCATTGTCACTGGTATGGTGAAACCCATTCACACGGGTATGGTGAAATACATTAACACTAGTATGGTGAAACCCATTTGCACTAGTATGGTGAGACCCATTCACACTGGTATGGTGAAATCTATGAACACTGGTATGGTGAAACCCATTCACACTAGTATGGTGAAACCCACTGGTCAATACTGACCTTCAGCATGCGGTGACTTGGCTGATAAGGTTGTCAGTCCTAATACTTATGATTGCATCCCAATTGCGTCTATCGAAGCTCATGATGTCAATCACATGGCCGTTTAGTCCAAACTCGATTACCTCAATACCGTCTTGATGTTGCTCGCCTATTATGGATTGCAAGTAATCTGTCGCACAGTTCCTGAACCATATCAATATCATTTGCCCTTGAAATTGCCGTTGAAATACATTGTCTTAGGCCACTTGGCCACCTCTTATTTCTTAGAGAGTAACCGTCCAACTTCCGTATGTCTTTACGTCACATTATTGGAAACAAACCAGGCATGTGGGTGTGAAAGGCCAACGCACTACCCACTGAGCTACTCTACACGCACCTGTTTACCTGTTTGTCGTTTCCTGTACCGCCGATCTGTTGTATAAGCAGACATAGATGTGACGACGCAGCACACAAATCATCATAATTGTCCCATGCTGTATAATAAATAGTGAGTGAGTGAGTTTAGTTTTACGCCGCTTTAGCAATGTTCAAGCAATATCACGGCGGAGGACACCAGAAACGGGCTACACACATTGTACCCACATGCGGAGTCAAACCCGGGTCTCCGACATGACGAGCGGACGCTTTAACCGCTAGGCTACCCCACCGCCCCCAAACATTGAGCGGACGCTTTAGGCTACCCCTCCGCCCCTGTATAACAGTAAGTAACATATCGAACTGTATATGAAAATTGATTTTTCAGATGATTTATTTCCATACATAGTTATGGTTTCAGTACCCAGATGTCTCGAGGTCTGTCCGTGGTCCCTACCCCTTCGAGTTTGTTACGTTTGTTTTTTTTTTCCACTTACGGTAATATCCAAGCTGTATAACGGTTTCTGTAAATAATCAAGTTTGGACCAAGCGGTCAAGTAATGGACATCACGAACATCGATCTATTCAATTTGGACATGACATCGATCCACCTAACCAGCGAGCCTGTCCCTGACGCTGCTGAAGAGCAATTCCCACCCGGATCTTCACGGAGGCACGAATCAACGTTGGATCCATACATACGGGTATATGGAGTAAACATACCAATGGGAGATCTTGTTACACAAAGCCGTTATATCGATCTTAGCTTTGATTAATGATTTAGTTGGACTGATAGGACTTTTGGCATGTTTTATAGACGCATGACACGGTATGACAAAACAGATGACTTCAATTTCCATAATGGTTGCATTCTTGAAGGCTATAGTAAAGCTGTCAACGAGTTTTGTAACAGACATAGGGAGCATGTCTTTGCACCAGTGATCAAAAGGATGCATGATGCAATTATTTATATTGAATTATATAATACATGTTGTGCTATGTGTTCCAGCGGATCATTTCGCTTTTCTTTACATGTTTGGAGCTGGATACGAGTGAGTGAGTTTACTTTTTCGCCGCTTTTAGCAATATTCCAGCAATATCACGGCGGGGGACATCAGAAATGGGCTTCACACACTGTACCCATGTGGGGAATCGAAGCCCGGCCTTCAGAGTGACGAACGAAAGCTGTAACCACTATGCTACCCCATCGCCCCGAGCGGGATACGAAGGCCTGTTAACATCATTATTTGATAGAAGTTCCTACACATACTTATGATGCAATCTGAATCGTACAATGGATGATGGTTTTAATATTTTTATATGTTTTTTCCTAAAGTTGTGTATTTCATACGGATATTACAGTTATGTTTTATTTTATCTTATAGTTTTGGTGTTTCTGCAACTGTTGTTTTTTTAGCCCAGTAACCCCATCAGGGGCGGATACAGCTTTTTGAGGAAAAAAAAGGGGGCGTGCACACTATTGAGAAAAGGAGGGGTGCACACTTCATTTTCACCCGAGTTTCAAAGGTCATTTAACAAACTTTCAGCACAATGGGGGTGGGTGGGGTGCGCACCCCTGCACCACCCACCCCACCCCCTGGATCCGCCTATGCCCATTAATGTTTTTTCTTAATCTAATGTACTGATCAAGTCCACTTATAAGGCAAATCTTTCTTTTTTCCGGCATGTTATTTACAAGCGCTATATTTGTGTTCTGTACTGGAGAGGACAGATGTCACGCTTTCGTCACAACAGGTTCAGATTGGTTCATGGTGTAGAAGCTGTTCATCCATTTTTACCCACCTGTTTGTCGAACGAGCTATCGCACTGTTGCTATAGTTCTCCGCCCCTGGTTATATTCCAAGTGACTTTTTTCTCCATATTTACATTTCGCGTTTTTAGATAAAACCTTCAAGCCATTGAGGTCGCAGGTGTGTGAGTGTTGATATGAGGTTTTCCTCCAAACAGCCCCACCTGGACACTGATTCACTGCCAGCAACTTCAAGACCCATCATCCCCCACCATCGACGAGGATTCCTTACCATATCAAAGTGTTGCTCTAAAGCGGCGACCTAATATGCCTACAGCTTGTACAGCCTTTGACAGTCAGATTGCAGGGACGTCATATTGACTGGCTTCCCTCGAGGTCTACACGTCGCATGCAACACAAATATACTCAAGGCTTACTGGCCGGGTCTACCACACGACCCGCGGATGGCAACAGACAGGTTAACTTCGATTTTCTGGGCGAAACAGGGAGAGGTTAGCGAAAGAAACATTTTTTACAAAAACTACAGTTTGGTGTAAAACACCCTGTTTTTTGTCAATATGTCAGCTTGGTTGTCCTCATGTGGCGCACTATACGAGTGTAGTTTGTATAACGGGGCAGATCCAGCTTATATGCAGTATATTCTGGAGTATAAAATTTACATGGAAAAGACATATGAAGGTGAATGATAGACATAGGTTCATGGTATATACAGAGCTATTATAGACACACGTACACACCATTGGCTACTTAGCTTATTTAAGATACAGGTACAGGGTATATGTAGGTACTGGCTAGATGTAGGTACATGCTTGATGGAGGCACTGGATAAAATGTAGGTACATGCTTGATGCAGGCTCTGGCTAGATGTAGGTACATGCTTGATGCAGGCACTGGATAGATATAGGTGCATGCTTGATGCAGTCACTGGATAGATGTAGGTACATGCTTGATGCAGGCACTGGCTAGATGTAGGTACATGCTTGATGAAGGCACTGACTAGATGTAGGTACATGCTTGATGGAGGTACTGACTAGATGTAGGTGCATGCTTGATGCAGGC